ACCATGTGATCTCCTAGTTAAGGTAGCTAGTATATTTATTCAGCCCTCCTTACCATCTTGTCTTGAATTGTATTGTGATTGTAATGCCTTCCTTTTATTGTAAAGCGCTGCGCAAACTCTTGGCGCTATATAAATCCTGTATAATAATAATAATATTCTGATCTAATGATTTGTTTACAGCAGAACTAAATTCTGAGTTTTGGTATACTTTAGGGCAGGGGTGGACAAATGAATATTTAATTTAGGAGCCAGTCTGTCTTATTTTTTTTAGAGAAAACCTCAAAAGTTGGGTGTCGGCTGTAATTTTTAAGACGCGTTGGCTACCTAGCTCCTGGGATTTGTCCAGCCCTGCTTTATGGTCCTGCACATTTGCTAATGCACGGTACAATGTGCACTCTGGTGCCATCTATTTGGGTGCCATGAGTTGTGGCATGCTGCCTTGCCTAAAATATTGCAGGTCCAGTTGTTTTTGTAAGTTGAGGTGTATTGCCAGCCCATTCAAAAATTAGTAACATAATGCTTTAAAACGTGTATGTTAAAGCACTTGCCTTAGGCTGGCCATACACTGCGGGCTGAACGGGAAAGAGAGAGAAGATTCCTGCATCTTGAGTGTGTCGATCGAGGAATCCTCGCGATTTGCCTTGTATTCTGACAGCAGGTGGTGGCCGATGTCAGAATACCCGACCAGAGCTGGCAACTCATTGGCTGCCCGCTCTGACTTTCCAGTCAGCTCCTTCGATTAGCTGATCGAGGGATGCTGGCTGAAAGGGTGCAGACAGCAGCATACACTGTGCGAGATTCACACAGTGTATGGGCACCCTTACAGGATACACAAGTAACTAGGGGTTTGGCCAGTTGCATTTGTTGCCTGCAGTAGAGATATGGCCATGGCCTCTTATGTGAACAATCTGCCTGATTTCTAAAAGCTGGTGTAAAAGTGGAGTTCTGATTACTTAAATTTGACCAGTGAGGGCCTCCCCTACATTTGACAAAAGTAAATCCCACATAAGAGAATTCCTCATCCAAGCTAGATTTAGAGAACAGCTTGTTTGTTCTTGTTCAGTCCCGCAGGTATGGCCCCAGTGCATGGCCAGCTTTAGTGCTCAGAGACACTTATTAGATTTTTCAAGAGAATGAAAGATGAAACACTACCGATTTGTACAAATTAGGCTTTACCTTTCATTCACTATAATTAAGACATCTGATTTAGCTGTGATGGGCTAAAAGCTCCATATTTGCTTAGTTTGCATTTTTTTCCTTCGCTTCATCTTTATAGAACAACCTTCTGACAGATGAAGGAGAATCTGATAGTCTTTTCGAACCGTTGGGAGGCAACGTTCCACCATAGCAGCTGTTGAGGAAATGCTGGATGGTCTTTGCTTAACTAAATAAAGACCAACGCCAGCAAAAATTTATTTTTTGTTCTATCTGTATAAAAATAAGTCAAGGCAACTGGACTTGCTGTATTTTTCTTGAAGACATTTCACTGGACATCAATTGAGAAAGCTGGTCGCATGTCCAGTGAAACGTCTTCAAGAAAAATACAGCAAGTGCAGTTGCCTTGACTTATTTTTTACAGATATACCATGACCTGGATGAATGAGAACCTTCACAGACGTATTTTTTATTACAAAGTATTGGAATAAAGTACAAAGTATTGGTAAGTGTAAGGTCTTCATTATGGACTGTGCCCCCATTTGTGACAAAGTATGATGCCATCTTATTTTTAAATTATTAGTACAGATTAAAAGGAAATCTGCCACAGTGTCCCAAACAGCTAGAAAGCTTGCTTATGAACCTACCATCAGTTTTCCTAAGTTCTGAGCTTTGGTGATAACTACCCCAAGAGTTGATCACTTGATTGCTGCTAAATTATCCGTATAATCTAGTCCACTTTCCTTAAATGGTACCTTCCCTCCCATATTCTCCCTCTGTTGCAGAAGAAAGAACTCCTGTGGATACCCAGTTTTGTTTCTCATGAGCTCCCTCCTGTTTTTCTTCTCCTTTTTCTCCAGCTCCTAGTGGTCAGGCTGAACTATGTGCCACCAGCTCCCTGTAGGCCAGACACAGTTCTGTTGGTGGCACATCCAGACAACCCCACTTACATAAATTCCTTCTTATATAAAGTATTTCAGCACATACGCCACCAATCAGTGCCTCTCTGTATACCCTAATGTTAATTTTATTCGTAGCAAAATTAAATCTTGTATATATCCTTTGGCCTGTACTTACAGTATATACACTGTTTATGAGAGAAATGCTTGCATGTGATTTAAAGGATCATGCAAGGAAAGAAATAACAATATAAATGTCTCACTAGACTTTCTCCAAAAGTTAACATTTTTAGACTTTTTTCTGTGTGTAACAGGGCTTGGAACATTTAACATTTACAAAAGAAAGAAAGTGTTACAAGGTCATGTAAAACATCTACACTTCTTAGTATGTGACATCTAGGGCTGTGTGTTGTCAGTGCACACTACCCACTGCACAAGTATAATGGGGGGGGGGCGTTGCAAGAGTGGTAATAAACCTGTCATGACAAAAGGTTGACTGGCTCTCATGCCAACTCGCTGACTTTTACATCACTGAATGAAACAATAACAAAAAGTAGCTCGGAAGTTCCGACAGCCTTCGGATTCCAATAGCTTCCTGCTTGCCAGGTCCATGATTTTGAAGGTACTAAAGGCAATGGTAGCCAGGCTGATAATAGTCTTCTTTAACATTACTGATGTATCCTTGCTCTAGAGGTCTGCTATAAAAAATATTCCACACAGAACCTTTCCACCTTAGGATTACTTGGTCAATACTGTGTTTCACTTGAAAGATTTGACCATTTGAATCCATAGCAGGTCATACAGCAGCTTTCAAGAGCCTTTACCTGATGAACCTCTTGATCACTTGTTGGGGGGGGAAACGCAAGGGAGCTTTATACAACAGCTAACAAGGTTATTACACAATAGGATTTTCAACACCACCCGAACAATAAACCAATGGATGCTGAAGGGAAGGAAAGATCAAGAAAAAGACATATACTTCTTCCCCTTCTACCAGACCACATTAAGGTTTAAAGTGACTTTTTCTAGCATGTGCTGCAGTAATTTCTAGTACATGGGCACAGTGGGCTGAAAGCAAAAGCATGTTGGATAATTTATGATCAGCAGACTACAGGGATGAACCCTGAAGTATGTAAAGCTGGATTTGATGCTTCAAATGATGAGCCCTTGAATGTCTTCCTGTTTATGCAACATGTGCATTTACTAGTCAGTGCATGACGAACAGGGGGGCACCCATGTGACCCCAGACTGCTGGTAAGGGCAGACATGAAAAGCAAGTGGGGCAAAATCTCCCCAACCTGCCATTGGGTCTCTAACCTGCCCTTGGATCTCTAACCTACCCTTGAGTTGCTAACCTGCCCTTGGGTCTCCTGTAGTAAGTGTCTAGTCTCCCAAGATCATCTTCAGTGATCACTGATGAGCCAGAGAGTGTAGCATAAATTATTAGCATATGATTGGCCAATGTAATATAAAGGATGGCACTCCTCTTCCTCACCTGTTCCATCCAAATAGAATGATTTTGGTTCTTGCTTAAACCAAAGAGCAGACATATAACAATGAATAATCCTGCCATTCTCATGTGATTGGTGTAAGTGTCCTCTACATTGGTCACTCTATCCCCACAGGTCTAGTTATTCGGTTTATGTATACAAATACTTATTTGAGCTAATCCAGCTGCCGCTAAAAGCATTTCCAGATTTTTAAAAAAATACTCATTCACATCCTTTTGTATCGACTTTGGACCTTAAGCTGCTTTCCTGCATAGATCCAATCATTCCGTAGTTACTGAAATTATACTGCAAAGACAGATCACTATGTTCACGTTTATCAGGGATTTGGCAACTTGTCTTACAAGCACAAAATTACTTATTTCAATGACTATGAGATGGGAGAAAAAAAATTGCACAAAATAACAGCCTTCATCCGCCGTTCCCATTACTACAGTCTGTAAAAGCGATGCTGAGGAAACATGCACACCTTAAGGATCAGAGGCAATTTGGTCAAAACACTAGATGATGATTAAAAAAATAAAATAAATTCCTCTTTACGTTCTATTTTCTTCAGCCGACTGTAACAAATAACATGGGAAACGGTGAAAGCGTCTAACATCAAATACGGTGCTTCTACGCACACGGCATTGTCTGCACTCGCCCTCAGCATTTGCCACCTTCGGCTTCGCTGTTGCTTTAAAGCACAGCACCGAGGATGCTCAGCAAAACGCTTTAAGACAACTTCCATCTCTTCTGCAATGTAGAACAACACGAAGATGAAGTATACACAAATCGCATTGCACTTGTTTATATACAGAATGTATGTCCTATAAGCTTTGTGCATATTGCTGAATTTTTTTTCTTTTCTTTTTTCTTCATGCTCCATTAAATCAGTGATCATGTCTAAATCCACAGAGGATACAATTATTACGGCTGACTTGCCCACATAACATGTCATACTAACTTCTAGGCTAAGGGGAAAGTAAAAGCAACCATGTAGCGCCCAATGTATTTTTAGAAATGACTTCTAGCAATCCCATATGCCTTTTAAGAGAATCCCTGCACAGCCGGTGGGGTTGCCACACACAGCGTTTGCAAGTGAAATCCGATTTGCATTTGACCTTTTTGCAGTAAATTTCCGCCAGGTTTAAAAGCAAGGCTGATGGTTAAAGGTCAAACATGATGCGTATTGAGGACCTGTCTAAACATTTTTTTTTCCATCTGTGAGCAATTGAACATTTTGCTGTTGCTTTTCATTTTGGACAAGCTTCCACCGAAGTACCGATCTGTACTATAGGCAGTATCTATTGGCTTTCAAACGGTCACCTTAACAAGATGTGATGGTGTAAATGCCACAACAGATACTCGAGCATTCCAGTGAGCAAGCTCTTGCCATAGTCTGAATGGACCTTCGAGAAGTAACCACATCTGTGAATAGTGTCCCATGTACCGTTACAATATATCCATGGTTGTAGAACTTGGCTGAGATCCTTGTATTTAATCCATGCATGTAAATCTGCTACTTCCAAGTGATCGTTTAAGAAAAAAAAAAAAACTAAGCCCTTTCTTGTGCTGTACGTATTAGAAATAAGTCCATGTAGTGTGTGCATGTGTGTGTGTGTGTGTGTGACATCCTCAGCACAAAATGCGACTTTCCTGTCCGACCATGACGGGGTAGAAGTTGTTGTCTGGACAGCAATGCTCCGTTTCGTCTGGGACTTGTGGTGGACTCAAAGAGCTTCTCCCGCTGTCATTGTCTTTTCCTGTCAATGAGAAACAGAAGACACATTTTTAAAATTTGTTAGTGAATGTAACTTAAAGCAGAACGAGACCCACCAATTAAATGGTCTCCCAAAACCATTACTTCAAGGCATGCCAACTGTCAAGATTGCCAGTGTGCTTATTTTTAATTTTCAACCGATCTTTCAAGCCTTCAAATAGTCGGTGTCATAGCTGATCACATGTGAAGCATCATGGCAACCACAATCCAAATAGAGGCTAAGATGGCACCTTCCTTGGTGTCTAATGGAGACCACAACAGACCTACAACCTCCTATCCCTTACAGCCAACTAGAAAGTAAAAAATTGAGACTGATTGGTTAGCGCACTCTTGGGGGTACAATATGTTGAGGCCAGTGTACAGCTCCTTTTGTTGTTAGATAAAAGTGTCTAACTGTATAGCATGAACGTAAAAAGAAAGGGAAGGATCACAACCGACTGGCACACGCTGTGGGGAAAGAAAATGATCAGGGATGTACCTTTTAGTATCTTTCTTCTTCCACGCCGATTTCAACACGCCACCAACCACCCCATTCCCAGAGGATCCACATCTGACCATCAAAAACCCATCTGCCACCTAGATCAGACCTCACGATAACATCACCAGGAGTTTCCACCTTTGCACCACCATTCCACCACACGTGAGTGCCACACACCCCTGATCATTTTCCTTCCACACAGCGTGGGCCAATCAGTTGCGCTCCTTCCCTTCCTTTTTATGTTCATATTAGACACCAACTGCCTACAAGCAGATTCCCCCTTATGATGGACAAGCAGGTCCAGCTTTGACCATTTGTGATATCTCCTGGTTTACTGCAGGTGCATGATGCTTTTACTTGCCCGCACAAAAACATTCATTGGGAGCTTGGCTGCCTAAGTTGCCTTCTGGATAATCATCTCTGATTCTGATTAATCAGCAGTTTTGCAACTACCATAATGCACTAGGCCATGGTCTGTGGCCATTTGTAAAGGTCCTTGCTGTGCTGGAGGTGGGCACTAAAATGAAATTACAGACATTTAATGGCTATGTAGTTCAAACTATATAGATGGTCTGGAATACGTGTATAGAAATAAGCAACAGACTATAGATATTTATTTGAGAACATGTTTTATACCAATCGAATACAAGTCAACCTTTTATCATCTTATGATCTTAGTATCTAGGTGGTCTATGGGCTCTGTGTTGGTGGGTAGGGAGGTAATGCTGAGCAAAGTGTCTCCTACCTTGGTACACCAATACTAAAGTGCAGAAACGCCTCACTGATCACGTATCTCTTACACATCAGCAACAGATCAGTACTGCTGATCTATGAGTGATGTCTATAGCGTTAGAAGGGTTGTGGGCAAGGGGGTGTTGTATGACTTTAAGGTTACAGATCACAATAAGAAATGTTGTTCGTGTGCAATCCCTCTTTAAAGCTTTATTCGCTTAAAGCAAACCTGTGCGATCTACAAAACTGTAAATTAACAACCCTTGAAGACAGATGACATAAACAGGCAGCACAATCCCTTGTCTTCAGGCGCTGCTCCCCCCATCCCAAGCTGCCCTATTGATGCCCTATCATTAGTCTCAGTCGTCCATGGAGAATTGCAGACCTGCAGGCTGCATACAAGTGATCTCGGCGACATCGCCGGGATCACTTGTGCAAAACAAGCAGCGGCTTCCGCGCTGTACATTTACATCTGTTTGCCCAAAGCAGGGCTAAATGTAGAAAACAACTACCGCCCGGAACTGCATGTCCCGGGTATTGGGAGATGGGAATTCCACACTCCGGCTGCCCCAAGGCCGGGCCATGGTTGACCTTGTGGGAAATCTGACCCTGGTTACTTTACATGAATATATATGATACAACGCTTTAATCATTTTTATATTGTTTAATAATAGGGCTGTGGATAGATTAATTTCTCGATTAATCGTTAAACTTTTTGATCCATTAAAATGATTTTGATCGCTAATGAAAACACTCACCTCTCCGCCAGCTTCCAGGAGTCCTGTCACGGACATCGACGTCACCGGACTCCCCCCCCCTTCCCCAAGCGGCTCTGTCGGCTAACGAAGGGAAGGGGGGAGGAGTCCGGTGACATCTATGTCTGTGATGGCTAACGAAGGGAAGGGGGAGGAGTTCAGTGACGTTGATGTCAGTGGCATCACCGGACTCCTCCCCCCTTCGTTAGCCCCTGGAGCCACTTGGGCCGGTGAGTTTGCCCAAGAAACTTTCTGCACGAGCGCCAGCCAAGGCATTGGCCTATACACATACAGCACAGCAATGAAGTAATAAAATGAACTAGGATCACACTAATCCAGCACGTTATTATTCTGAGTTGCCCCACTCAAGCGGCGGCCATATTGATTGGGGCACGTGAGATTAATAACGTGCTGGATTAGTGTGATCCTAGTTCATTTTATTACTCCATTGCTGTGCTGTATGTGTAAAGGCCAATGTAGTTGGATCTGTATGTGCGTTATAATTAATCGATTTAAAATGTTTTCGATTATTCGAATACGAAAATTTTAATAATTACCAGCCCTATTAATAATAACAAGGCAGAAGCTAGAATTCCCCTCTCAAATTCAGTTTATGGGTTGGCAAAAGAAACAGGAGTCACTTGTAGTAAAAGCCTGTATTGATTTGTGCTTATCCTTCATAACCAAAAGAAGCCTGGCTCGAGATGGGGAAAGTGATATTTTGTTTCTAAATTTTAAATCAGGCCTGAAGTAAACAAGGCTGGAAACTAATCAAGTCTAATCCTGGATTAGTTTCCTAACAGGATCAAAGCATGAAGTAAAGTCAGGTCATCAAACCAAAATGCAATGATGTCTTACGGATTATAGCGTGCAGCCAGCTTTACAAACTACTATGGCAAGGTATGTGTGATGTCACTTAAAGTGACTCTGTCCCTAAACTGAAACCGTGAAGGAAAGTCCGCATTTTTGTTTTTATAACTTGCAATTCTACAATAGTAAAGGTCTAATGTGTAGAATGTATTAAAGTGTGTACATACATGCCCCAGCAATGTGTTGAGTGTATTGCATCCCACTGTTGGCATAAACTGTGATGGGTTGGACCCCCCTCTAGTGGTCGTAAGTAGTACTGCTGTTTCATCTTATGACGTCTTTCAGGCCAGATCTAGGATGTGTACCTAGATAATCTGGTGATTGCACATGATTGCCTGGAAGTGGCTGTGGTAGCTTTAAATAAAATATTATAAAAATATGGAGCCAGTCAATACTAAACCTTTCCTTTTGAAAACGCCAGTTGTCTGGCTCATCTACCTCAATTCTGAATTTTTGTGTGTGTATGTATATATCTCTTCCCTTCCACACTGGTGACTTATTGGCACCTATGCAACATTGTGACATTCCCACAGATTACAATAAGAGAGGCAATAGAACGGGGCTGGTCTGTTTAACACAAGGTGTGTACCAACAGTCAAGGATACAAAGGCCACTGCACACGTACCTATGGGCCCCTCAACCACCTCTAATTGTTACACATTACTTAGGGGTCTATGTATAAAAGTTCAAGTCATAAAGTATATCACGCGCACACTATGGTTAAATCTTGAAGAAGTGATCATTTTATTGATGCACACATTGCAATAAAATGATCACTTCTTGAAGATTGAACCACAGTGTGCTGGTGATATACTTTACTACTTGAATCTGAAGCGGCGCCATCCGCAGTCACTACAGCACCTGCCACATGGGACATACCAGTAGGTAGGATTCTAAAAGCATTCTGTATTTATAAAAGTTTTCTCACAAGACTCACATTTTCTAATAAAATCCATTTAGAAATGTGTGAATCTTGGGTGAAAACCTATATAAATGGACCCCTTAGTGTACATGCACGGAATATGAAAATGATTTAGATCCTCTTTACTGTCCTGTATTAGATTAGTCCTGTGCAGAAATTGACCATGAAAACATAGAATGGAATTTTCCCCTATAAAAATATAATGGATACATTTTGTCTTCATTCAGTTTATGTTATAACAACCAAACTCTATACCCAATGGGGAAATGTTATTATTACCATCAGGGGTGTCCCCAGACTATTCACCCCTTGAGTCGGGGGGTAGTGGCGTCCTGCCCAACTCACTAATGTCGCTGATTGCCAGGAGCTGAAAGAGATGCCGGCCAGAGCATCCCAGGTTGCTGAGAGCTCTGGGACAAACCTGGTACACTCTGGCCGGAAAGGAGGTGGCAGGCACACTCCCCCCCCCCCCCCCCCCCCCACGTTACCCAATGAGATGCTGCCTGAGGTAACCTTATTATAGGCACAGCCCTGATTTACCGTTTTTTTAAATGGCTTACATGACCATGCACGACAACTGTAGACAATGGGAGTGGGATCGGCAAATGACACCATGCAGCCCTGTACTTGGGAGTCTCAACCTTTTTCTAATTATAAATCAATAGGGGGATGAATAATTTGACTGATGTAGTAAAATACCAATTCACTAGAATGTGACAGAGGTACAAGGACATTAAACATTGCACCAAGAGATTGCACAGCTAAAAGAGATTTTATTTTATAAACAACTAACCTGGTGTTCATTTACATTTTATTTGATTGGGCTACTCCCACTTTATTCCGACATTGTTGGAGATGAAACGTGTGCCAAGTGTAGGTTGGTTACATGCAATAAAATGTTATGCAAGGCCCTAGAAGACAAATTACTATTATATTACACTGATGTAACAGTAATGACAGGCTCGTAGACGGTAATCTGCTTTATTTTGCTGTTCAAGTCAATTTCAGGTGCTCGTAGCTCCTTGTCACTGTGCTTGACAGTCAGGAGCAACATAAAGCAGGTACATTTACTGCTGCTCTGGAGGAAGGTAATGCAGAATATACTGTAAAATAATCAGAACGTAACTGGGATAGGTCTGCCATGAAATGAAGCCACTGGCAAACTCCATTAACTTTAGTTTTTCTTTCCAGACTAAAAATGGACTAATCTTTTTACATCGTTAATATTTCCCAGCTGTGCAGTCTACATTTAGCTTTAAGTTCCATTTTCCAAGTGCTCTCATTAAGATCTATTATTATTATATTACAGGATTTATATAGCGTTTGCGCAGCGCTTTACAATATAAGGAAGACATTACAGCAGTGACGTGCGGTACCTCTTGTTTTTCCGGGTGAGGCATTCCCCAGCACGTTCCGCCTCGCCAGCAAAAGCCCCGCACGCTGAAGCCCCACCCCCAATCCATCCCCAAGCTAGTGTACAGGAGGAAGGGAGGAGACAGGGAAGAGTCTCCCTGTCTCTCACTTGCTCGTCACTGCTGAGGCATCGAGATCGATGGCCTCAGTGGGTTTTTTTTCTTCTTTTTTTGACTGGACAGCTTAGACCAATGACTCTTTGCCATTGGTCCAAGCCATCCACAGAGCTCACGCCTCTAAAAAAGAGTAGAGGCTGCGACAGCTCTGGCTTCAATAGTTAGGTTACACAGCAGCGAGCTTCCCCACTGCTTGTGTAACCTATCTACCTGTCAAAAGCTGGATGCAGCACTGCCTGTAATTAACACACAGGGCTCCGTCCATGACAGGTTACACAGTGGGGAGGATTTCCTTGCTGTGTAACATGTTACAAGCCGCTCTGAATGGATAAAACGCTGTCAACTTCAGACTTGAAGCTGACAGCTTTTTCCTCCATAATTCTTGGTGAGGCTCTGCCCCACCCTCCTCCCCTGACCGCATGTTCCTGCATTACAGTTACAATACAAGTCAAAGACACGATGGTTAGGAAGAGAAGAATGTCACTAGCACACCAAAATCCTTTTCAGATCATCAGTTGTTCGTTTTATTGAACAGATTGTCAGTTGGAAAACAAGCGCTTTCAGGACCTAGCAGGGTCCCTTCATCAGGCTAAACATCGACGATCCCTATCACTGGGATTTCTGGTAAGAAGCGTGACAAGTTCTTCTCCACAAGATGGTTTAGGAAGGCCCTGCCTGTGATTACAATCTATAAGGCCAAAATGTAAAATTCTGCCCCAAAAGAGGCCATGGGGAACAAAAGCAGAAGGAAGAACAGTGTCAACACCCATTCAGAGCTGATTTGAGGATCTACAGCCGAGTGATACACAAATAAGATACATTTTTGTGAATAGTTAAGGTACTTGAATGCATTTTTAAGATTTAACTCCTGACTTTAGTGTCACTTTAAGTAACATGTATGCCGTGAAGCTCTCATTGTGCAGTTTAGCGTTGCTTTAAATATATACCGAGACTTAGAGGTGGTGTTGCATATTATGTTATGAGCTCTTTGTCATCCCTGAATCCATGGGCGTTCAAATATGCAAATACTCTTATGATAAGAGCACTGCTCTCACACCACCTCTCACCACCTATTACTGAGGCTTTGGGTGTCCAACAAGTAATGGACAGCTAGTAAGACATGTGAGAGCCCGCCCAGAGCTCTAACTAAATAACTGCCTGCTTCTTAAAGGGTTATTAAACCCTCAGGTTTTTTGCATAGATCTACTTCTAGCAAGCAGTAGATATATGCAAACACTTAAAAAAAAAAATCCTTTTCAAACAGGTTTAAACTTACCTGTGTCTTCGCTGCACTCTCCCGTCCGAGCATCTGAAGAGTCTCGGGCGGCCGCAAAGGATCTTCGGGTGGGCGCATGTGCACTTCAGATGTCCGGCCGGGAGACGAGGAGAGACGCAAGGTAAGTCTATAGAGCAGCATGCACCCGCACAGACACCGTGGGACATGAGAGGAGAGGAGGACAGAGGAGTCATCGCTGGATCAGAGACCCGCAACAGCATTGGAGGGACATCTGAAAACTACACTAAAGAAGATGGTCGGATTAAGAGGCATGATTTAAGGTAAGTCCTTACACTAACATTGGGGGGGGGGTTAGCCTTTAATGTCACTTTAAGTCTGGATTCACACCTAAGCGACACCTATTCAGCGCGTTTTACGCGCAACTTTTCTAAGCTTTTTATGCGTGTTGTACGAGCGCATGTTACCTTGCTTGTTTTTGTGAGTAGATTTTGGCACATTCGTGTCAATGAGCAAAATGAGCGAACTACACACATTTTTCAAGCGTTTTCTATTGTCTATGGGACAAAACGCACTCAAATCAGCCCCAAAGTCGCTCATGTAGTATTTTGTGTGTGACAGGCATATTTCTGCTTGTGACAAAACGCTGATATGTGCACTGGGGTCATAGACATCAATCAGATTCCTAGTGTTGAGCTGTTTTTCACACAGATTTATGAGCTACAGAGAACTTAGGTGTGAAGGGGGGCTTAAAACTCAACTGCACCTACTTCACCCGTCTTTCTATAAAATCACCCCCCCCACCTTATCAGAATCGCAGATAGATTTACTTATTTGCATAGTTTTTGCAAATACCTTTGGCTCTAAACCTCTTAGTTTACCTGGCTCTGCTGCCCGCAGTCTCTTGCAATACTGACATCATGCACCCCAGGAGGCTACCAGACATTGCACATGGGCAGTGGCATGCTGCAAGAGCCTGGAAGAGGTAGTTGGCTCATGATATTGTCACAAAGGAAGATGGCGGTGCAGGACCCAGTGTGGAGTAGCGGGTTACACCAAACAACTCTGGATTTCAAGTAATATTGGTTTTTTTTTAAAGGACAACCCTTTGGAATGGTAGGGAAATAAATACAGTAATTCATACTGACACGCTGATTGATGAAGCCCTTTATTAGGTGAGTCGATCAAAAGTCATCCTATGCCCCGTTGGGCATAAATATATTGTAGATTTCAGATGAAACCGTTAATAAAACATATTTGTAGATGACCTAGAAACAGAAATGGATTTTTGTATCTATCAAACTGCTCTTAACTATGCTACATGAATGAATATTAATTTCTCCAGTCAGACTCTTAAGTACTTGGCTCAAAAGAGGGTGGAATCGAGAAGGTAATCAATTTTCTGGATGTGCGCCATAGGTCTGTGATAGAAATGGTGGATGCGCCTCAGACAGTCCTAATACATCTGATTTAATCAAGATGATGCAACTTAAACAGTTATGATGTATTTAGTCTTTTATCTACTAACCTTCTTATCTTATTTTTTATAGTTAAGATTAAGAGGTTTGTAGCCAGTTTTTTGTACAAACAACATAAAAAGCTGATCTCTAGGCTCCCACTACCCCCCCCGTCC